GCTTGGAGAAATAAAAGTGGTGCACCAGTGCTGTGACTGACTTTGCAAGAAGCGTCTGCCACCACTGGCCTCCAGCAGACCGTTGATGCCTTCAGGAACTGCTGTTGCAGCCACAGCCAGTAAGTCTCTGGTTTGTGGTAGGAACACTGAGCCACAGAGAGTGCAGATGCACCCTGCATGACCCAACAGACAGTTGCACACCAAGATCCCTGCTCCCTGGCAGGAGAGCCAAGCAGTAAAGAATGTAGCTATCTGCGATAGCCTGGCAGACAGCTGCTCACTGCAGACTCAAGGAACCAAGCATCCAATAATGCTAATGTAATATGCAAAGCTTCTTTAAGGCCTTTTAGAAAGAAAGGTGACATCTCTGATTATATTAGGATTTGTTCAGATATTGGTCCTTTGTATACACAGGGAATGGCTATAGCTGCTGCTTTACAGGGAAAGATAGTTAAAGATGTTATTTCCCAACAAAGAAATCAAAACACAGAGAGAAGGAGTGGTGCATGGCCTCCTGGAAGCTGGAAAGGGTGTGGTCCAATGAGACCTTGTGTGAAGCATTGCCCTGATAGAAGAATAAGCCTCGGGGTGAGGAAGGAATTGAGATTATACCAGAGATACAGGAGAGGAAAACATTGGATTAATGAATGCAGATCAAAGTGAGATGCCCAAGGGAATCTCATTCCAGAAAATGTGCAGAGGGTCCCACCTCAGATGCCAAGACAAATCTATGGAGTGATTCATCAGTCTGTTCCCCCACAAGGGAATCCATTTAATCAGGACCTTTGCAGAGCAATCCCAGGCAGTGCAAGAGTTTGATCTCAGCTTTTCAATCTACAGTTTTAACTCTTGAAATGGGTATACAAGCTCTCCCCACTGGGGTTTATAGACCTTTATTAGAAGCCACTGTAGGATTATTATTGGGGAGAAGTAGCAAGGAATCCTTGTTGTTCCCGGAGTCATAAATGCTGATTTTGAAGGAGAAATCAAGGTTATAACTCAATCATTTAATGGAATTTCTATGGTAAAGACAGACCAGAGAGTTGCACAATTAATTGTACTTCCTAAAGGGATACTAGAAATCAAGTTTAAGAGAAGCAATAGAGGAGAAGCTGGGTTTCGTTCATCTGATACTTACTGGCTACAAGCAATAAGTCTACAGTGAGCAGAACTCACTTTGTTTATAAATGGAAAAAAAGCTTTTCTGGTCTTCTACATACTGGTGCAGATATTTCTGTTATAACTGCCTCTCAATGGTCTTCAAGGTGGCCCAAAATGGAGACTATTGCACAGTTACAAGGGATTGGACAAACTCAAAATCCTGGACAAAGTAGTAATAAGTTTTACTGGAGAGATAGAGGAAATCATAAAGGAAATTTTTGGCCAAACACTGTTCCTCATTTACCTGCTAATTTGTAGGACCAAGACATTAAGACTCAGATAAGGATATATTTATATTCCCCCAACACAGTTATTGCTAATCAAATGTTCCAACAAGGGTTGTTTTCCAATCAAGGGCTGGGCATAAGTAACAAAAGGCCTCACAGGGCAGGATTAGGTTATTTTTAGGAGAGGTACTGAAAATCCTGTACTCCATACAGACTTAATTATCTAGAAAAATGACAAGCCTGTATGGGCAAATCAGTGACCTCTAACAGAAAAATTATAAGCTTCCCAGCAGTTAATGCAGGAACATTTGGATAATGGTGACATTACATTCCAATTCCCCATGAAATTCTTCTAGTTTGTGAATAAAAAGAAATGAGGAAAATGGAGGTTGATATAAGATTTAAGAGAGATTAATCAGACCATGCAGATGATTGGAGCTTTACAGCCTGAGTTGCCTTCTCCTACCAAATACACCAGTAAGATTATTTTAGATTTAAAGAATTATCTTTTTAACATCCCTTTCACACCACAAGATTGTCAAAGAATTGCACTTAGTATTCTATCAGTTAATTTCAAGGAACCAATGAGAAGGTAACATTGGAATGTCTTGCCTCAGGGTATAGCAAACAGTACTACATTGTGCCAGAAATTTGTGACTCAGGCTATATAAAGTGTCAGAAATCAATTTCCACAAGTTTATATTTTTCATTTATGGATGTTATCTTGCTTGCTCATAAAAATAAAAGAATTTGCTTGAGACATTTGGCTACATTTAGCAGAGTCTTACCCATGCAGGGTTAGTACTTGCCCCAAAGAAAGTACCAAGGCACCTACATTTCCAGTATTTAGGTCATATGCTATATCTTAAAGAAATTAAATCTCAGAAATTAGAATTTAGAAAGGGATAATGTATAGACTATGAATGATTTTCAGAGAGTGTAAGGAAATATTCAGTGGCTGAAACCTGATTTAAAATATTCTACATGAGACCTCGAGCCATTAAGTAAAATCCCTAATGGGAACAATGATCCAAGTCCCACCAGACACCTTATAGACACTGCAAGACAGAGAATGGAGTGGATCAAACATGCAACACAGAAACAACAGGTACATTTTATTATTTATGATTAACCTTGTATATTACCTATAAAACTCATTCCCACTATAGTATTATGGAAAAATAGTCCTCTTTAATGGATACATCTTCCCATTTTGCCAGTCAAGATATTAAACCCCTATTTTGAAGCAGTAGCTTGTTTAGCACAGAAAAGCCAGTTGGTCCTGAGTTCCTTGCTCATGCTCCGTCTCCTTCTGCTCCTCATTTGGCCCTTGAGATTTCTGTCCGGTGCTCCCATGCGGGTCTCTGTCTCTGTCTCCTTTCATTGCCTGATGAAGGTTAATATTCATGAGGATGCCTATGTGTTTGTCTTTGCCAGCTGGCCTAGGTCTGAAAAAGCATGGGATAAATCCGGACTAGCTGAACATAGAGGACAATGAGGAATACTGAGAACTCAAGAACAATTGCAGTGGGTTTTTGATCCAACTGCACGTACTGGCTTTGGGGGAGCCTAGGCAGTTTGGATGCTCACCTTACTAGACCTGGACAGAGGTGGGCTGTCCTTGGGCTTCCCACAGGTCAGGGAACCCTGATTGCTCTTCTAGCAGATGAGGGAGGGGGACTTGATCGGGGAGGGGGAGGGAAATGGGAAGCGGTTGCGGGGAGGAGGCAGAAATCCTTAATAAATAAATAAATTAAAAAAAAAGAAAAGCCAGTTGGAATCTAGGTAATTATTGGTAGGAAGCTTAATGTTATCAATGTTCATTATATTAAACATCAGTTTGATTGACTATTTCAAAATAAAAATTCTTGGGCAATTTTGTTTGCTCAATTTGTAAGCCAAATTGATAATATTTTTTCAGCTAATTGATTGCTGCAATTCATAAAATTACATTCCTCTATTTTCCCAAAAATTGTAATGAAAGATCCCTTAAAGAATGCTATGTTAGTTTTTACAGATGTTTCTTCCAGTGGAAGACCAGCATGTGTTGTTGGTGGTAAAGAATATGTAGTGAAAACATATAGCCTCAGCTCAAATAGTTGAGCTGTGAGCTGTTGCTATAGTATTCAAGATTTTTGCAAATAGGACATTTAATTTATATATTATCAGGCAGTACCTCTTTAAAGTTCTTGAGGTAAAAGGAAAAGTTCTATGAATTAGGTGTAATGGTTTAAGTAAAATGCTGCAGGTCCGTGAGTGGCAGTAGTGGGCAGCAGGGCTGGAGATCATGCCACAGGTCACTGAGCATCAGCAGGCAGTGGGCAGCAGGTCCAGAGACCACAGCAGGCCACAACAGCAGCCCGGTCCCAGGCAGGAAGCTGTGTGGCTGGTTAGAGACAGAGATGGATAGGCTTGCCACGTAGAGTGAACTTGATATTTATTTAGTGGGTTATGAAAGGGAAGGGGAGAAGGGGGAAGAGCAGAGAGTAAGAGAGAGAGAAAAAACAGAGAGAGAAACAGAGAGGGAAAGGGGAGAAGTGGGAGAAGGGAGAGACAGAAGCAGCCTCTGAGAGAGAGAGAGAGAGAGAGAGAGAGAGAGAGAGAGAGAGAAAGACAGAGAAGAAAAGACTCAAGCTGGAAGCTGAAGATCAGCTTGCCTTGACAGCGTCAGGAGGCATGAGGGAATGAGCATGGCTTGTCTCTTAAAGGAATAGGATAGACCATTACATTAGGACTAATAATAATCAGGTTAAATGCTGTTTCAGCAAATTCAAGATGCCATTCATTGAAGAAAACTGCCATGCTTTATGGATCATTTTAAAACACATTCAAATCTTTCTGGTCCATTTATTGAAGGTAACGCTTTAGCTGATAAACTTAATCAGTTGATTGTTTTATGTCACGTCGAGCTTGCTCAGTGATAACATGCTTTACATCATCAAAATAGTTAAAGTTAAAAAAATAATTTGTATTACCAAGAGAAATTGCTCATCAGATTGTTAAACAATGTGATATATGCCCACAATATTTACCTGTACCTCATCTGGGAGTAAATCCTCAAGGTTTGCTTCCTAATCATTTATGGCAAATGGATGTTATTCATGTTATAGAACTTGACAAATTAAGATATGTACATGTGACAATTAATACATATTCCGATTTCTTAGTAGCCTCTGCACAGACTGAAGAAGCCACCAAGCATGTAATAACTCATTGCTTAAACTGTTTTCCATATATGGGAATCCCTAAAATTATAAAGATGGATAATGGGTCCACATATGTTAGTAAAGCATTTCAGCAATTTGTTTCCAATGGAATACTGAACATAAAACAGACATTCCTTATAATCCTCAAGGACAACGAATTGTGGAGTATGCCCATGGCTCCTTGAAAACACAAATTCAAAAGATAATGCCTTAAATCATGCCTTCTTACTCTAAATTTCTTGAATGTGCATACCTGTGAGTAATCTGCCACAGATAGATTTTGGCATAAAGGCACCAGAGAGACCTTCATCAAAGCAAAATGGAAAGACACTAGCACTGGATTATTGACAGGACCTGGCCCTGTTTTAATACGGTAATGAGGGCATGTTGTATTTTTTTCCCACAGGACACAAGAATGAGGCATGATGGTATCCAGAATGATTGGTCTGGTAAGTGCCACAGAAGGATGCTGGCTCTGATTGCATCATAGCTGCTGGTGCCCACGAAAGAGTAGGAGTGAGACTTCTGAACCTGCATTTTTGATTCTCTAAAGTCATGCTGCAGTCTGAGAAAGGAAGTAAGATCAAGGTGATGGCTGGTGATTCCCAGATTCTTGGTGGACCTACTACACAAACTTCCAGACCTTAGTGAGATCAATTTGCTTTGGAGGCAGGCAGCCCAAGAACACTGACTGATTGTTAGGTAGTTTATCCTTACTATATCTTGGGACACAGAACTCATTTTACCAGTTGAATTAAGTTGGCTTTTGAAATAAAAAACCTCAGAACTGAGACCTGAGAACATTCCCTCTCTGCTGGATAGAGACTTTTTAAAGCATTGGAACACTATTATGGATGCAGAGACTGACTGAAGCAAGTCCCTACTTAGAAATGAGGAGGAATGACATGAAACTGTGATGCTACTCAGAGACTGGGGCAGTTTGAACTTACATTTGAAAGTGAAAATCAGCAATACAATTGGACTATAGTAAAGGAAAAAGACTTATAGTTGACCCATCACAGAAATCTTTTTTATCTTTTGACTAGAACAGGCTTAAGGGAATCATAATTTGACAAATTGTGTGCTTATTGTTAATTTCTGTACTAGAATTATACCTGTTAATGTTTGTAACTGTTTTGGTTCACTATGAAAATGTTATTGATTAGAAAAATGTTAGAGCTTATCTGAAAAAAAAATGACAAAATATCGTCAAGTTCCTAAACTTAATATATTTAATAAGACAAATTTGGATTTTGATGCAGTTAAAAACTGTTAAAGACATCCTGTACCAATTTAAAAAGATCATTCTATCTTGGTTATCCTGGGCTCCTATATTAGGAGATGTTCTGGGAGTTGCAGCATGTATATCACAAATCATTATCTGCTTGCATATGATTTTCTAGTTGTTGTTGAACTCTCTTGACAGAAAGCTGGCTCAGAAGTGCACAGTTTTAGAGATGCTCTCTCCTTTAACCCTAAATCTTTTTTCCTCCAGGTAACCAAAGAAAAACAGGACATACATTATAAAATGTATGTACCAATGATGGTTAAGTCTAGAAAGTGGAAGAAGGCTACCTAATTCAGGCACAGTCGTCTGTCCTGTAGTAAAGGACAGGCTTTAATAAATTAATTAAAATGGGAGGAATATGTGGGAGCTCACAGAAGTAGATCCATTCTACCTTGACTAAAGGTCAGGGAGTTCAGACCTAGTCTTGCCCCTTTGAGGTTATTGGCAGGAGATTTGACTTCAGGTGTGAGTACTAACAAAGATATCTTGACCTAAGGTGTGTTTACTTGGTGTATTTTCTATTAAGGTGGTAATCACATTGTTTGTTCCATGTATTATGATAAAAATTCTTTTGCTTTTTTTGGATTGGGGTATTTAAAGATCATAAGAAATAAACATGTGAACATTAAGTATTCATTGGATTGCCCTCCTGGTACTATCCTGTGTCTCTGTATTTCTGTTCCTTTTGCCTTATATTCCTAATCTTCATGCCCTTACCCTGGAATGTAAGAATCTGCTGAGGCTTGACCCCACATTTTATTCTATATATTCTGATTTTAGTTTCCCTTCCAACTCCTCTCAGATACCCCTAACTTCACTCAACAAAATCTACTCTCTTTATTTTCTCCTTTTTTATATAAAACAAGCAAATATCTGAAAATAATACACACATACACACACATATATTTTTATACATAATACTCACACATATGTATATATACATATAAAGGCTTGTTGGGTAGTCATATCACGTGCCTTTATCTCAGCACTCAGATAGCAGAGGCAGGTGAATCTCTGAGTTCAAGATCAGCCTTGTATACAGAGCAATTTCCACGACAGCCAGGGAAGGCTACACAGAAGAAACTTTGTCTCAAAACAACAAAACAAATGAAGAAATAAAATAAGATACAACTAAAACAAACAAAATGAAATAGAACAAAATAAACAAATAGGAGGAAAATTTACAAAGAAATAGCACAAAACACATCTAGATGCAGAGACATAGACATTTGCACACACAGCAGTCCCATAAAACACTTTTGGGAGTTCTACCATCCAGATCCCAAATAAATTATACAGCAAGTCTTACTCTTTCTTACAAAGCCAGCCTTAACTTGGCTTGTTTCTAGCCAGTTTTTCTTAACTTATCCCATCTACCTTTTGCCTCTTGTACTTTTCATTTTCTTACTTCTGTACATCTTACTTTAATACTTACCCTGTGGCTGGCTGGGTGGCTGGGTGACTGGCTACCAGTACCTGCTCTTCTTGTTCTTTTGCTCTTCCTTCTCCAGATTTTTCCTTCTCTTTATTCTTTTTACCTGCCAGCCCTGCCTAATCTTTCTCCTGCCTCACTATTAGATGTTCAACTCTTTATTAGACAATAACATGTTTGAGACAGCTTCACAGAGTTAAAAATAACATAAAAGAATATGACAAATCTTTGTATCATTAATACAAATGTTTCTCACTATAAACAAATGTAACACATCTTAAAATCATATCCTACGACAGAAAAGTGAGAATAAAGAAAAATAACTCATAGACAAAGTATTATAAGATAAGGAAATTTTAAAATTTCATTGTTTTGTGGTGGCCATCTACTGCTGGAGATGGAATCTGTACTTAGTGGTTTGTATCCCTCAGTGAGATGACATTGGAGAAAACTAATTTTTCCATTGTGAGTGGTTAATCAATTGGAGATAGCTTCTGAGTTAATAATGGGAATTCAGAACACTTCAAATCTAAGGCCTGATTCCCCATCTTGTGTAGAACCTTGAAGGCCTTGTGCATGGTACCATAATTTCCAGGACATCATATATGCCTTATCCTCTGTGTTTGAAAAGCCTTGTTTTCTTGATGCTCTCCATAACCACTTGTTCTTAGTATTTTTTCCTCCTTTTCCAAAGGGCTCTCTGAGCAGTGGGGTTTGATAAAGATATCCCTTTTATAACTGAGTATTATAAGGTCTGTCACTATTTGTACATTGTACAGCTGTAAGTCTCATTTTTGTTTCAATATACTGTATGAGGAAGCTTCATTAACAATGACTGAGCAAGACACTGACTGACCTGTGGATATAGTATAATATCATCAGGAGTCATTTTATTGTATGTGCTCCTAATAGAACAATATTTTGATTTCCCTTAGGTCCCTTTTGTGTCTTGTCTCAGGTCCATGGTCACTTGATCAGTGTTATGTATAGATTCCATGTATTGTAGTGAGCCTTAAATTCAACCATTTATTGGTTCATTACTCTGACAAGACTTTTATTATTTTTTATTATTTATTTATTTAATACAGATTTCTAACTCCTCCCTGACACCGGCTCCTATTTTCCTCCCCCTCCCCCGATCAAGCACCCCTCCCTCTCCAGCCCAAAGAGCAATCAGGGTTCCCTGCCCTGTGGGAAGTCCAAGGACCGCCCACCTCCATCCAGGTCTAGTAAGGTGGGCATCCAAACTGCCTAGGCTCCCACAAAGCCAGAACATGCAGTAGGATCAAAAACCCAGTGCCATTGTTCTTGAGTTCTCAGCAGTCCTCATTGTCCGCAATGTTCAGCGAGCCGTTTTTTTCCCATGCTTTTTCAGACCCAGGCCAGCTGGCCTTGATGAGTTCCCCATAGAACATCCCCATTGTCTCAGTGTGTGGGTGCACCCCTCGCGGTCCTGAGTTCCTTGCTCATGCTCTGTCTCCTTCTGCTCCTGATTTGGACCTTGAGATTTCAGTCTGGTGCTCCAATGTGGGTCTCTGTCTCTGTCTCCTTTCATAGCCTGATCAAGGTTAATATTCAGGAGGATGCCTATATGTTTTTCTTTGGGTTCACCTTCTTATTTAGCTTCTCTAGGATCAAGAATTATAGGACATTGAGCTAGAAACCAAATATGAGTAAGTACATCCCATGTTCCTCTTTTTGGGTCTGGCTTACCTCACTCAGGATAGTGTTTTCTATTTCCTACCATTTGTATGCAAAATTCAAGAAGTCATTGTTTTTTACTGCTGAGTAGTATTCTAATATGTATATATTCCATACTTTCTGCATCCATTCTTCCATTGAAGGGCATCTAGGTTGTTTCCAGGTTCTGGCTATTACAAACAATGCTGCTATAGTTGAGCATATACTTTTGTAGTATGATAGGGAATCTCTTGGGTATATTCCCAAGAGTGGTATTGCTGGGTCCAGGGGTAGGTTTATCCCGAATTTCCTGAGAAACTGCCACACTGATTTCCAAAGTGGTTGCACAAGTTTGCATTCCCACCAGCAATGGATGAGTGTACCCCTTTCTCCACAACCTCTCCAGCAAAGGCTATCATTGGTGTTTTTTTTTTTTTATTTTAGCCAGTCTGACATATGTAAGACCAATTCCTACATATAACCCCAGCATCACAGACATTAAGAGCATCATTGAATAAATGTGACCTCCTGAGACTGAGAAGCTTCTGTAAAGCAAAGACCACTGTCATTAAGACAAAAAGGCAACCCACTGACTGGGAGAAGATCTTCACCAACCCCGCAACTGACAAAGGTCTGATCTCCAAAATATATAAAGAACTCAAGAAACTAGACCATAAAAGGATGATCAACCCTATTATAAAATGGGGCACTGAGCTGAACAGAGAATTCTCAACAGAAGAAGTTCAAATCGCCAAAAGACACTTAAGATCATGCTCAACTTCCTTAGCGATCAGGGAAATGCAAATCAAGACAACTCTGACAAGATTTGTAATACCATTTTACTAGCATATCTGAAAGCAGGTCACCATTGTCGATCAAAGGGTTTGTAGCTGGGTTGGTGTTTATCTTTCTCCTTTGGTAATGAATAGAGTATCTTCCAGTACCATGAACAATACTCAAAAGTTGTTAAGGCTCAAGTAGGCACAAGCTCAATTCCTCTATGTTCAGTGAATTGTGTAGGTGTTGTCACCAGCAATAGTGTGTAACTATTAGTTTGCAGAAAGCAACCATTAGCTTTGACAATAGCCTGAATTGTTTGGTGGTACTCCAGGGATCCCTTTAATCAGCAACTCTTATAGATAAAACCCTTTTATGAAATGGAATGTTTCATTTGGTGTCAAGAGATATCTAGCTGGGGCTCTGTCTCCCCTGGAATTTTGTGATTCTCTTTAAATTTTTTCATATATGTTCATGTTTTAAGAAACTTCAATTGTATTATTTCCACACAGTCCCTAAATTATCCTTAGTTTTAGCTGATTCTCTCTGTAGTTTCTTCATCCCCACCATCTTCCCTTCATAGGGAAATAAATCTATTCACCACCCCTGATCCCTTGCTCTATACATGATCTCTGTGGTTATATGGATTGTAGCCTGCTTATCAAAGACTTCACAGGTAACATTCACATCTAAGCTATCCACACTATATCTGTCTTTGTGGGTCTGTGTTAATTCACTCAGTATGTTTTTTTTCTAACTCTATTCATTACCTGAAAATCAGAACTGAAAGAAATAAAATAAAAGCAAAAAAACTTCAAAGAGTTGATGAAACAAGAGTTGGCTCTTTGACAAACTCAGTAAGTTTGACAAACCCTTAACAAAATTTACTAACTGACAAAGGAAGAAGATCTAAATTAATTAAATTGTTTTGATTTTGATATGTGATATGTGTTCAGGAATTTATAGAATTTTAGATTTTCTAATTTGTTAGCAATTAATTTTCTAAGAATTTTATAGTTATCCTTTGGACTTTTATGGTATAAATTATAATGCCTCACTGTTTATTTTCAATTTTATTTTTTTGGATCTTATTTTCTTCTCCCTATTTTCCCTCTCATTTTTGATAGCTTATTAAAGCAAAAGGTTTATCATTCTTTTGGTTATAAATCAGAAATAATCTCCATTTAGATCCACATGTTGTGGTTATGTGAATAAAAAGTCTAAAATGCTATTATATATTGAAATTTCTAAAGCAAAAAGAACCTCTTCAATGATCCCATGTGCTATTTTACTGTGGTCTTATTTTATATTTTCTCCATATGGTTGACTCAGGCTTATATATTCTTCAGTGTAAGGATATGCTATTACAAACTGTTGGGTGATGCTATTGATCTCATGTGTCAA